ATGTTCTATACTTTAAATATATACAATTTGTCAATTACACCTCAATAAACATGGAAAAAATAAAAATAAGTTAAAAAAGAAACACAACCAATAACAAATATATATACACATATATATACATATATAAGTAAATAAAATGTTTCACCCCAGAGTGAAACTCAAAAGTATCTATTTCTCTACTACAACATCTCAAAACAGACTTAGAAGGTAATCTCAGGTATTTTTAAAATTAAACATACTTTGGAAGATTCAAGATACACAATAAAAATAGACTAGGGCTCTGAACCACCTTAATGCTTGCTGCACCTGACTAAACTGAATACTTCACTTATTAGAAGAGTTTGGTACAAATCCATTAAGTGCAAGTAAATTCAAGATCAGATTCACATATTTAAAACTTCTTCACCAAAATGCATAATATTATATCATACAGAAACGGTGATTTGGTTTATTCTTTTCTCAGCTGAGGATGTAAAGGGACATTTACAACCACTACTATCCCTTCTCTAGTACTGTATGTTACTTGGTTTTGATACCGTACAACTTCTCTTTCCACGCCTCTATCTGGCCCACTACCAGGGCAGATTACTTACTAAACACTGTCAGGGACTTCTGGCTCCCTTTCTGCAGAATGCTTCATTCACCTTCTCTACACAAAAGGTCAGATGGCCCACTTGCCAACCCTATTTCATCATTCCAGTTACAATACTAAAAACAAGAACTCAAACTTAAGGCCTGAAATTTATAGGCAGAAGATATAGCCAATGGCTGGAAATTATTTAACCACACACTCCATCTAAGACATTCTTCCACTACATCAAAATGATATGAAATTATTATAACTAATTTTATTAACAATTAGGTAGCTTTTCTGACTGCTACAAAGGAAAAAGACCCAGGGTATTCATGCTCTTCACAACATAAAGTGTTTCCCTAGTAGGAGTAAAGACAATACCCACAATTTATAGGGAATTCTATTTCTCACTATTTATATGAAGAGGCTACAGACAGAATCTAAACTATGTTATCTGCTACCAGGATCACCAGCATCAGTAACCTGTACCCGTGGAAGTGAGGGAATCAATAACAGCACAATAAATTCCACAGACTAAGTCAGCTTTTCTGAGCCCCACCTGAATTTCTGAAAAGGTAGCTGTCTCAGTCTGTTTGGGCTGCTGTAACAAAATACCACAGATTAGGTAGCTTATAGACAACAGAAATTTATTTCTCCCAGTTCTGGAGGCTGAGAAGTCCAAGATCAAGGTGCCAGCATGGTCTGATGAGGGCCTTTTCCTGGTTCATAGCTGGTGCCCTTACACCATGTCCTCACATGTCAGACAGGGCTAGGGATCTCTCTGGAGACTCCTTTATAGGGCAGTAATTCCATTCATGAAGGCTCCACTCTCAGGACTTAAGTATCTCCCAAAGACCCCACCTTCTAATACCATCATCTTTGGGGATTAGGATTTCAACACATGAATCTCAGAAGGACACACTCAAACCATAGCAGCAGTCAATCAGATTAATCCACCCTCATTTAAGAGAATGAGAGAGTTTAAAAAAAAAGCCGCATAAATATTGTTAACAGTCCTACCAACACCTCCTTGAGCATAGCGGTGCTCAAGCTTCAGTGAGAGGATATGATACTTCTCTATTATCTCTGAGGCTACCGAAGCCAATAATGGATTTCCATAGCACATAAAAAGTACATACATTTAAAAGTACATACAGTAACAAAAAGCTTAGTTCTTTATCTCAAGTTGTAATGGTAGTTTAAATTTTGGTTTAGGTTCAAAAGATTTTTTTAATTTTTTATGAATAATAAATATTACTTCTACAAACAGCCTTGCAAGTGGTTACATCTATTAAGTCAAAAGATTTTAAAAGTTTAGTTTTTCATAGTACAAAGACCAGAGTAAATACGTACTTTAAAAACAAATTTACTACTCTCTTTAGGTTGAAGAAGCTTTTTCCAAGACTTATTAACACAAGGAGCAGAGAAAGCATATACAATCAGAGAATAAAAGAACTACGTAGCAAATTTTGCTGTATTTTACAAATGAGGCCCACAGAGGCTGAACAAGCAAAACTGCCCAAAGAGAGGCACACACAGTTAAATGCAAGTTACTGGTAATGTTTTTGTTCTTGAGCTGTGTGCTGGGTCCACAAGTATTTATTAGAATAGACTAGAGCAGACTTAACTAGCTAAATAAATAAGTCAGACCTGGACAACTGGTGATGGTGTGTCATTAATTAAATACTGTATCTGAAGTCCAAAAGAGAAAACACAGTTCACCAGTAACTAATCTGTAGGATCTGAAGGTAGGTATTATGACTGACATAGATATGCCTCTCAGCGTAAATCCCAAACAGTTAATACATATTTTCTGAGTGAAATATCAACGTAGTAAAAATAATTCAGGGGCCGGTTCAGTGGCACAGCAGTTAAGTTCGCACACCCTGCTACAGCGGCCTGAGGTTCATGGGTTTGTAGGCCAGGCATGGACCTACACACCACTCATCAAGCCATGCTGTGGCGGTGTACCACATATACAATAGAAGAAGACTGGCACAGATGTTAGCTTGGGGATAATCTTCCTCAAGCAAAAAAGAGGAAGACTGGCAAAAGATGTTAGCTTGGGGCCAATCTTCCTCACCAAAAAAACAAAAAACAAAAACCAAAAATTTAGAGTGAACATCAAGGTAGCCGTTAATAACCCAACACAACTTGGTCAGCTTCTCATTGAAAAAAATCTCAATAATTAAAACTGATTATAAAGACATGTTAAGGCTGCATATTCTAACTATTATCACTAGAGTCACACTCAAATCCTTATAAATCTAAGTATCTTTCACAGCAAAGATTATACAAATATCTTAGCAATGCTTTTCAGTGCTTTAAAGAGTAGGAAATCAACAACATTGGTATAATTAAATTGAACTTTGCAAATTAGGCATGTCTTCTTATCAAGGCATTTAGCAATACTGTGTTTTTGTAATGATCTTTTCTGAATTAAACCTCAGATTTCTAACTTTTAAACTGTACTTTATTACATTCTCATATATTAACAGTATTATTTTTAACAGATTCATATTTATAACTCTAAAAGGCTTTATTTAACCTACCATCCCACACTAGTTTTGAGAAAATAAGTCTTTTCTTCATTGTGATTCTATAATGTAGTAACTTGAAACAATTTAATTCAAATATGAGTTTATTCAGTTTTACTAGTACACATATAATTTTTTAACATACAATTTTTTAACTTAATTTCCTACTTAACAAATCAAAGCTTAAAATAGGAAAATAAACTGTTTAAAAATGTGTTTCATCTATAATGTTCTTATTGAAAAATTAATTCCAATCACTAACATAAACCTAAGTATTACTCTCCAGGGCTGTATACTGCTGAATAATTTGTCCAAATGTCAACTGCAATTTTCGAAAATCCCTTCTACCTCAAAATTTTAAACATCTGTAAAAAATACTTGTTTTGAGAGTGGTTTACATTCATGACACTTGACCTTTTGCTGTACACACCACAAAATTCAAGTCTCAAATACCATGCAAGCAGGAAATCTGATCATTCCTGCAGTAGCCATCTGCATGGTCCAATATTAAGTATTAGTTCTCGGTTGCACTAAGTCATGTGTTACAAATCTTTTTCTGCAGCCTCTATAATTAGTTGTAATTTGCCTCTTTTAAAATGTGTTTCTTATGGGACATCTGGCCTTGAAACTTCACCTTCCCATTGAAAAAATACTTAATGTCTGGATTTTTTTCTCCTAATATAGAGCACTGCATGGGGGGTATAACCAAGTCCAGACTTTTAAAAAAATAATTTCCAAGAACACATGATGATTAAGAACCATTTAAGTATTATCAAAGATAAGTGTAAAATAAAACTTAGTCGCAATATAACTATCTAAAGATTTTTAAATCAATCTCCCAAATATTTAAAGTTCACAAAATAAATTTTCATGAGAATGTAGCACTAGTCTACTGACTTACAGGAACTCCATTAGTTAAGACAAATTAGACAATACATGTTTAGAATCAAAGATTTCATAAAAGGAAAAAACAGATTTGATCCCAGTGGGATGATGTGACACTCAAAAGTATTGACTTAAAACAGGAAATGATTTTAACAATTCACTAATAACTTTAATTTCACAGAGATTGAAGTTACATTTAGGATACACTAAAACTGCCTTAAGGTTCTTATGAAAATAATCAATTTACTAATACTCATCAATTCAACTGGTTCTAGAAAGACTTCCTTAAACTGAAAGTTAAATGTGGGCTAAGGAAAAAGTAATAAAAATGAAAGAGATACTTCTTTTCTGCAAGATGAAAGTGGAAAAATTCATCACAATATGCAGCCGTCCAGAACTACTTGCTTCCTAGATTAGAAAATTTTTTGTAGAAACTCCTTAAAATCAATATTACGCTTTTACAAAAAACACTAACAAGAAATGTACGACGAGGCAGAGAAGAAATAAATAAGTTAGGAAAAAATCACTTTCTGATGCCAAAACTTCAAAGGCAACAATGAAATTTGGTATAAAGGTAAATTCAACATATTTTAATCTCCCAAAAAATAACTCGAGAAATGTTCACTTCATTTAGAAACGTCATGTAAATAAAAAATCATGCAGGTCCTTTGCAAAAATTTAAAAATCTTCACCTGAAAATTGGACAGTCAGGCCCCACTTCTAGTGGATATAGGTAATAACCACTCTACATGATCACTATTATAGGGCTACGATCAGATTAAGTAAAATTAGTATCAAAATATTCTTTAGGATGTTTTATCCAAATTTAAGAACTCCCTTTTGTAATTAATTATGCTACTTTAATAGGCATGTAAAAATAGCAAGTATACAAGCTAAGATTTACTTACGTAAAAGTTGACATACCCCAGAAGTTAAAGAAATATCAAATACTAAAAACGATTAAAATTGGTTAACATAAACAACTAAGCTCAATAATTTCCTACCTGTATTCCATCTTTAAGTTTCAAAATACATTCCATTGTATTGATGGTAATTACCACTGCTTCCGAACCCAGTTTTGTCCAAGGTACATGGATCCTCAACTCATGAATATGTCCACTTAAAAAGGTGAATGGTAATTTCAATTCCTTAAAACACAAAATATTAAAATAAAAGTTAGTATTTAATATTTTTTCATCATAATATCCAAATTACTTCCTTAAAAGAAAAATGAAATTCTTAATACAAAAATATTTGGGGAATTATTGTTCATCAAAAAGTAGCATCAAATAATTTGTTAAACTACAAAAACTTATTGTGCAAGTTACATTTAATAAGCCTTAGTTTCTTACTTTGCTGAATGGAAATAATATATGATGCCTGGTACATAATAAAGGCTCAGATATGGTACTGGTAGTAGTAGTCACAGCAGGCAGCAGCAGTACTTGAGATAACTAAATGGTATATTGTTCAAAATCTCCACCTAAAAATATGCATTTAAAATGTGTTTTAAACTAACAGGATAGTAAGGCAAATTGAAAGGAGGGCTGAATTGGAGATAGAAGAATGACCTGACAAAACAAAAATTGCCCAACCTTGAAAAAAAACTTATTGAGCTTTACCTAATTAAAGATTGTACCTGGATCTATTTGGTCATAAATTTTAAATGTTTTCTGACTGGTTTCCATTATTATTAGGAGGTTAGAAATGAAAACATAAACGTCACCACAATCACCTTATTCTAATTTGTTTCACTTTCAGATAAAAATTTTTGTTACAAATCAACAAAGGAAGAAAAAAATAAAATGTATTTAGATTACATTTCAATAACATTCTTACAGTTGTTATAACTCAGTGAAAGTTAAGACAAATAGTAAGCTTATTCATTCATTCAACAATCACCCACCTACTTGGTTTAGCAACATAGTAGCAAGATAGCTAAACATACATGGTAGTATGACAAAGTGGTTAAGATCAATAACTCTCTGAGCCAGCCCTGGTGGCCTAGTGGTTAAGTTCAGCGTGTTCTGCTTCAGCGGCCTGGGTTTGATTCCCCAGCATGGACCTACACCGCTCTGTTATCAGCCATGCTGTACTGGCAGCCTACATATTAAAAAACAGAGGAAGACTGGCACAGATGTAGGCTCAGGGCGAATCTTCCTCAACAACAACAACAACAAAACATCAATAACTCTGGAATCCCAGCAGACACGGATTTAAATCCGACCTCTGCTACTTACTACCATAATGACACTGGGTAAGTTGTTTAACCTATCTGTGCCTCAGTTTCTTTATCTGTAAAATCTGGATAATAATAGTATCTTTGAGAATTGAATTAATTTATATAAAGTGCTTAGAATAGTGTCTTCCTTAAAGAGCAATCAATATAAAGATGCTATTATTATTATTATTAAAAACATGTATCATATATGTCTTCACAAGTTTTTGTTCGTTTTTGAGGAAGATTAGCCCTGAGCTAATATCCACCACCAATCCTCCTCCTCTTGCCGAGGAAGACTGGCCCTGAGCTCACATCCGTGCCCATCTTCCTCTACTTTATACATGGGATACCTACCACTTGCCAAGCGATGCCATGTCCACACCCTGGATCCAAATCAGTGAACCCCAGGCCGCCAAAGCGCAACGTGCAAAATTAACTGCTGCACTACTGGGCTGGCCCCTTCACAAGTTTTTTTAAAAAAGGGCAGAATACTACAAATCTATTTCTACTATTCTATTCTAATGGAATGTCACAATTCTTAAATTTTATTTAATATTACATTATTACATTATTACATACATTATTATTACATCAATTTTAAAGATGCAGTAATTTCTTCAGGCATTAATCAACTGAGACAGATTATATTTTGATCAGTGTCTATAACAAAGACAACATTTACCGGGCACTTACTATGTACTAGCCACTATTCTAAGCACTTCATCTTCATGCAATTATTTAATCCTTGTAAGAATCCCAAAAGGTAAATATTATTATTATACCCATTTTACAGACGAAGAACCTGAGACATAGAAAGGTCAAGTAACTTTGCCAAGTGAATCATCTAGGAAAGCCAGAACCCCAAACTGGAAAGTATAATGCCCAAGTCCTTGCTCTTAACCACAATTACACTACATCTACACTTTCGTTACAGGTATTGAATATGTTTCCATTGGTTATGCATCTATTTGGACAATTAGCCAATGACATTCCACCTCTACCACCCTCTGACTTGTGTAACAATGATACCTTTGTGAAATGTCTACCAAATTTCTAGTCTATGGGCACAAACTGGATTTTCTCAAGAAGTTAAAAGACATCTGAATCAAACTCAAGAACTTCGTATCAGCAGAATGCTACTAATCATCTGAACTACTAACTAAACACTAACACAAGAGGTATCATTCTATAGTAGAAGACGGAATTTTGAAGCACACAGCTCATGTTGGAGATCCAGTTAAAGTTCAACACTTATTAATCACCTGAGTATAAGCAACATCATTTCTATTTTCTCATCACAGAGTTGTTGTGACAAACAAATGAGAGCAAATTTACACCTTGTAAAAGGCAAAACACAAATGTTGACTGTTAAAATAAACGGATCATTCTTTAAGTAACCACAAATGATTTTTCATTCCTTTTCCTTCTCAGAATATGTTGTACAACTTAAAAATATTTTATTCACCTGAAATTATTCAGAAGTACATTGTGAAAAATGTATCCCTAAAACCAGAATATCTATGGCTCCACAAAGGATATTAGTTGAAAAGAATTTAGGAAGGTTGAATTGCTCTCAAAAATCTAACTCTAAGCAAGCTATTACAAAATATTCTAACATGGAAAAAAGGGATACTTTAAAAATGAATATAACAGGCAACAAAAGCAAAAATAAACAAACAGGACTACATCAACCTAAAAACTTCCGCACAGCAAAGAATACATTCAACAGAGTGAAAAGGCAACCTACAATGGAAGAAAATATTTGCAAACCATATATCCGATAAGGGGTTAAAATCTAGAATATATAAAGAACTACTACAACTCAACAACAACAAAAACATCCAATTTAAAAATGGGTAAATGACTTGAATAGACATGTACAAATGACCAACAAGCATATGAAAAGATTCTCAACATCACTAATCAACAGAGAAACGCAAATCAAAACACAATGACATCTCATCTTACACCTGTCAGAATGGCTACTATCAAAAAAACAAAATAGAAAGTAACAGGTGTTGGCAACTTTATGGAAAAACTGGAACGCTTGTGCACTGTTGGTGAAAATGTAAACTGGTGCAGTAGCTAGAGAAAACAGTATGGAGGTTCCTCAAACAATTAAAAACAGAATTAGCATACGATCTAGCAATCTCAGTTCAGGATATGTACTAAAAGGAATTGAAAGCAGGATTTTGAAAAGATTATTGCACAACCATGTTCATTGCAGCATTATTCACAATAGTCAAGAGGTGGAAGAAGGGGCCGGCCCCGTGGCCAAGTGGTTAAGTTCGTGCACTCCATTGCAGCGGCCCAGGGTTTTGCCAGTTTGGATCATGGGCACGGACATAGCACCGCTCATTAAGCCATGCTGAGGCAGCATCCCACATGCCACAACTAGAAGGACTAGAACTAAAAATACATGACTATGTATTGGGGGGCTTTGGGGAGAAAAAGAAAAAATAAAATATTTTAAAAAAAAAAGAGGTGGAAGCAGCCTAAATGTTCACTGAAAGATAAATGGATAAAGAAAATGCGGTATATAAACACAATCAAATATTATTCAGTCTTTTAAAAGAAGGAAATTCTGTGATATGCTACAACATGGATGAACCTTGAGGCCATTACACTACGAGAAATAAACTAGTCACAAAAAGACAAATATTGCATGATTCCACTTATGTAAGGTATCTAAAGCAGTCAAATTCTTAGAAACAGTAAGTAGAACGGTGGTTGTCAGGGGCTAGGGAAAGAGGGTAAAAGGGAGTAGTTGTTCATGGGTATAGAGTTTAAGTTTTGGAAGATGAAAAAGTTCTAGAGATATACTGACCAATAATGTGCACAGAGTTAACACTTACTGTACACTTAAAAATGGTTAAGGAGCTGGCCCCGTGGCCAAGTGGTTAAGTTCGCATGCTCCGCTGTGGTGGCCCAGGGTTTCGCCAGTTCAAATCCTGGGCATGGACATGGCACCACTCATCAAGCCATGCTGAGGCGCCATCCCATATGCCACAACTAGAAGGACCCACAACTAAAAATACATGACTATGTATCTGGGGGCTTTGGGGAGAAAAAGAAAAAATAAAATCTTTAAAAAAAAAAAATTGGCTAAGATGGTAAATTTTATGTTATGTGCTTTTGATCACAAAATAAAAATGAATACAGGACAGGACCTCAAGAATTCTGAGTTAGGAGGTTGGCAAATCCTCTCCCCAAAAAGCAATGACAAAACTAGACAAAGTTTTCAAAAACAAAAGAAATCTCATGGGCAATAAGGGAAGGCTAGCCTGAGGTCACAATATTGGTTGGTGCAAGCAGCAAAACATCAGACCAGCCAGAAAGTTAACAGAGAGATCCAGAGAACAAGACAGCCAAAGACAGATTTGTTATAACCTCACACATCCCTGGTAGCGTGGAAAACTATATACATGTCCCAGGTTGTGCTTGCTTAGAAGACACTGGAGAGGGCCCTAACAAGCTACTCATTCGTGGTTGACCAAGAGGCTTTGTAAACACAGTAAGCAAAACAATGGATCACACTTGTAAACACCCTGAACTTTGAAAGCATCATCTAGTACATGTATATATCCCATGCCAAGCAGTAGAAGCCTTACTTGTTCAAAGGTGTAAACAACCTCTAATCAATCACTGACTGATGGCTAAGTTATAGTGACCCAGGGGTAATCTCTGGAATGCTAGGCCTAAAAACAGAAAGAATTTGGGGGGAAAAACAAAAGAGCACAGACATCAGAGGCCACACACTACAAGGGAAATAGACACCACAAATTTAATCTAGGCAAGTTACTAAACAAATAAATCAGCAACAACAACAACCATCCCCTGGAAGGAGGAAATCAGAATTCAGAGTTGCTACAATATATTACCCAAAATGTCAAGTTTTCAACCAAAAATTATGAAACATGGAAAGCG